CCCCCCCCCCCCCCGCTTCTAGGTAAGCTGATTCTACATCAGTACTTTCGCATTCCGTCAACAAATGAATAAACTCGAGGTGTCTTCCCAACAACACCCTTTTGTGGCTTACAAACGAGACGTCAGCTTAAGGCTCTAAAAAACATTCTCGTCCACTCTGACTGATTACTTTTCTACCTGCTCACGCGCATGTTAACCCTAACCCTAACCCAGGGAGGGCGTGGCCCTATAACCACGTGACATTAACTCCGATTGCCAAAAATTTTATGCTATATTGTAGATTGATCGAAATGTTATCCATACTACATGTTAGACTTACGATCAAGGTAAAGGTGGGGATACCAGAGAGCTTCAAAGTAGGATGGTACCCTCACAAAATAACTGGGTCGAGTCACCTTAAAGAAAGCAGCGTGAAATGAGGATGATTTTACAAACGACTGGAATAGTACTGTTAATACATTGTCACGTAAGAGTTTGTAATGTAAAAATTGTTTTAGTGACGTCAGTAATAATTTTGGTATTTATTTTCCATGGTTATGTACAGCTTGAAAGAAGTTAAAAGGAGTTGTAAAACTGAATTCAATACTAAACGAGCCTCATTCCCTGCGAGTACTAACCTGATTCACAGACGTCCGAGGTAGTTCGCGGCCCATTCGCCTCTCTACGAAAGGACCGCGAACGACCTCGGACGTCTGAGAATCAGGATAAGCGACTACAAACCGGGGGTGGGCCCCTAGGTATTCCTTATAACTGTTTCTGCGGGGTAGGCTCCGTCCGAAGGAAGCAAATTTTTTTAAGTCTTCTGAAATATCATAGGGTAGGAATTTCACAAGTTGAAGTATACGATAGAGAAGGTCATTTAACTTTGGTCTGCAAAAAAAGTACCCCCTACCCCCCAAAAAAAATTCGAGATAACGTTCTGGTTTGAGCCCTCATATCTAAGATATAAGAGAACAGAACAGCAGACGCATTTCCGGTTGTCGCTTCTCTCTCTACAAAAAATAGAGGGAGAGGCGACGACCGGAAATGCGTCTGGTGTTCGCAGGCTATTTTAAAAAAGAGATGCAAAGCTCAAAATTTGGTAATGTTTAATAGGTACCATCTGTCAAGCACTTAGTCGTTTGTCTTGTTTGGTGAATAAATATTGACAAAATTAAACAAATTTTGTTTGTTATATGGCCTTTATCAGTTGGTCGAAATAATCCCGCATTTATTGCGCTCCTGCTCATACGAACTTTACGTGTAGAGTCTCAGTGATGTAAAATATAATTTAATAGATTTTATAAAACATTTCAGTCGGTTCTTGCTTTGTAACAGATTAACGATTCTCAGAAATATAGGATGTTTTTGGTTGCTTTAGAATGACGTCAGAAATCATAAATTCGTCAAAGAACTCCGTTTGATTGGTTGATAAAATTAAAGTTCAGTCTGAGTCACAAGACAGTAATCACTTTCACTTTCCAAGAGCTGGGTATTTCAAGATTTAAATAGTTTTTTTCCCACCATTTCCCTACATGGATATAAAGACCTTGCTGGACAATCTTCATGATGAAGTATCCTGTTCTGTGTGCATGTGTACATTCACTGATCCAAAGCAGTTGCCTTGTTTGCACAGTTTCTGTCTTCACTGCCTGAACAATATTCAACGAACGAGCGGCGTCCATGGCAAAATTACATGCCCCGAGTGCAGGGGACAGTTTCAAATCCCTGGAAGTGGAAATCCTAGCGAACTTCCCACTAATTTTCGTATCAACAGTCTGCTAGATGTCTTGGCAATAAAAGAGTGCAGCACAGCTAACGTGAAATGCGGAAATTGCAACAAACGGAGCGCCCAGACCTTATATTGCTTCCAGTGTTATGCTTTCTGGTGCGAGGAATGTATTTTAGGACATAACATAATACGCACCAATAAAGAACACAGAACGCTGGCACTGAATGATTTTCAAGATCAAGACATCGAGGCCGTGTTAAAGAGACCGGCATTTTGTCAGAAGAAACGACATGAAAAAGAAGAGTTGAAATTCTTTTGCAAGGACTGTAAAGTCGCCATTTGCAACACTTGTTTTGTGACACTTCATGAAGGTCATGGTAAGATGCTTTTGGAAGAAGCTACAGACGCACGTAAGACACAGATCAACTACACACTTCAATCTTTAAAAGATAAAGCACTTGAAAAACGAAAAGAACAAGACCAACTGAACCAAAAGAGCATGGACATTAACGAGCAAATAGCCGAATTAAAAACCCAAGTGCAGACGACTGTAGACCAATTGCTTGCAATCATCGAAAAGAGGAAACAGGATATTTTTGATATAGTCGATAATCAAGCGAAAAAGCCACTGGAGTCTCTCTCACAGAATCAAGTCCAAGTTGCAAATCAAAGGAAACTAATTGAATCAGCAATTGAAGAAACTGAATTTGTGTTGATACGAAGCTTCAGTACTGAAATCCTTGAATTCAGTAAAACCTTTGATTCAATCCTACAGGAACAGGGAACCCAAGAAAACAGTGACACTGAATACAGTATCCCTCGGTTTAGTTTCACTAAAAGTGAAAAACTGATTAATCTGTTGAGCATGAGCGAGGGCATAGGTAATGTAAAATTTGTTTTTAGCGAAACTAAAGCGCAACAACCAGAAGCTAAACGTAAAGAAAGTATTAAAGCAATTGCTGGTAATAAAGGGACAAATGTTGGTGACAGTCCTACTCAGACTCAGGTACAAACCAGGCGCTTCAGATCTGTGCTTTCATTCGGACAATATGGTGAAACCACCGGAATGCTTAACTTGCCCTGTGGGGTGGCAGTTAATTGCAATGATGAAATTGCTGTGGCTGAGTCCAATAATAATAGGATATCTGTATTTAGAAGTGACGGTACCCACTTGAGATCATTTGGTAGGGCAGGTCACAATAATGGAGAGTTTAATTACCCTACAGGGGTCGCTTTCGATAGCCGTGGCAATATCTTGGTGGCAGACTGTTTTAATCACAGGGTGCAGCGTTTTGATGGGACTGGTAAGTTTCTTAGTAAGTTTGGTGAAAAAGGAATTCTTGATCATCAGCTCAATTATCCTGAAGGTTTATCAGTAAACTGCAAAAGCGATATTATCGTTGCTGATAAAGATAACAAAGCAATCAAGATATTCTCTTCTAGTGGCGAGTATTTACATAAATTAGGTGGAGCAGCAGGTGCTAAGTTGGTCAAGCCTTATCACTGTATCCAACATGGCCAATATTTTATAGTCTCAGATTACGGTGATCATTCCATTAAAATGTTTAATCTTGAGGGAGAGATTATTGCTAGATTTGGAAAACAGGGGGACAAGGATGGAGAGTTCAATAAGCCATACTACTTGTCGGTGAACAAAGAAGGATTGCTAATGGTCTGTGATGAAAGAAATCACAGGGTTCAGGTATTTGAACTGAGTGGAAAGTTTGTTACAAAGTTTGGAAGTAAAGGTAGGGAGAGTGGAGAGTTTAGGAATCCAGTATGTACAGCAAATACTGGTGATGGAAGGATAGTTGTATGTGATACGAATAACAACCGAATCCAGCTGTTTGATTATGAATGATACGATTTTAACTTTGTTGTACAAGATACTTGAGAATGTGAACTACTGTACATTTATCATAAGATCTCAGTAGATTTTATAATTGTTAAAGAAAACAATGTTGTGAGATAATGTTGTTAATATAATAAATCTTATCATGAAATCGAAATTGCTATAGTACTGGCGTGTGCAATGGCAAGGGAAGGGAGGGGCAATGAAACGCTCCCCACCCCTCTTTTCCTTAGATTCTACTCCATTTTCAGACTAATTTCTCGCCGTAACCACCCTACCCTACTCCCCAAAAAAGAACCGGTTTCATAGGCTGCCTGCCCATGCATAGACATTAAGAAAAGTGAGTAAACGGTATAACCTGGTTTTCACTTGCGCATAAGCATAAGGCTTAGTATAAATACAAAGCTATACTTAGTAGAGATACGTGAATCACAGGACCTCGCGAAGGACTTCCGGGGAACGCCAAGCAGTTGAATGGAAATAAGAAGTAATAAAGAAAATTTATAAATCTAAAAAACTTTGGCTATATGAAGAAACAAAACAACCGTAATAAATAAAAAGAAAACTGAAGAAAAGGAATTAAAGAAAGGGAGAAGAGAAAAAGAAAATCAGGTACAGCCCGTAATCGAACTCAGGCCCTTCAAGGCGCCGGGCCATAGCTTTTCCACTAGGCCACATAAAACACAAAGTGAAAATTTCTGAAAATATATTATTAAAAACCTTTCCCCTGGAACTTCCGCCAGCGTGACCTGTTTAAAGTTGATCGAGCCCTATTAGGAATTCAGAGATATTGTTCAGAAGAATGACCGTTGTTTTGACAGTGAAACCCCAACGTAACGTAAACGAATTTCATGGCATTTGAAGAGCGGCAGCTCAACTAAGCCCATACGGTATAAACTCGTCTGGCGAGCAAAACGTGTTTTGTTACCTCGATTTTTGCTCATCTTAAGGCAAAAAAACCAAACCGATGCAAGACACTCTTCGGTGTTGCCTGTAAAAACAAAATGCTATGTGACGTCACACACTAGATGACGTCAGAGCGGACACCATGGCGATATATACAAGTATACAAGTATAGATTGCAGGTCGCTAACACCACGCGCGTGACGAGATTATAAACCTCTGGAGGCGAGGCGCATTCGCCTTATTTATTGCCTGGGGGAGGAGGTGGGGAAGGAGTTTTGTTGCAACAAAGGAGCACTTATGTGATCCCCCCTTCAAGCATACAGTGTGGTTTTGATNAACGTGTTTTGTTACCTCGATTTTTGCTCATCTTAAGGCAAAAAAACCAAACCGATGCAAGACACTCTTCGGTGTTGCCTGTAAAAACAAAATGCTATGTGACGTCACACACTAGATGACGTCAGAGCGGACACCATGGCGATATATACAAGTATACAAGTATAGATTGCAGGTCGCTAACACCACGCGCGTGACGAGATTATAAACCTCTGGAGGCGAGGCGCATTCGCCTTATTTATTGCCTGGGGGGGGAGGTGGGGAAGGAGTTTTGTTGCAACAAAGGAGCATGTATGGGATCCCCCCTTCAAGCATACAGTGTGGTTTTGATCCCCCCCCCCCCCCCCCCCACATTGGCGGTGGAAGATTTCATGATCCCCCCTCTTCTATCCCAGCCACCACAAAAAGCCAGTGTAACTATATGCAAGCAAGTGACATCTATATTAATACTCACGTCTTATGAACCTTGAACAACAACTTCACATCAGATGGTCATCTGATATGAACTGAATTGTTTGTGAAGGGTAACTCTTCTCATCCAAATCGTTGAAAACAAAGTCATTGTCGTTCTCGTCCTCCTCACTGTCTAATTCTTCCTCATATTCTTTATCCCCTGATTCCGATCCCCGTCACTTTCATCTTTGGAGTACCTCACGATTCGTCTGAGTTCACAGACTCCTTATGTGTCGGTAATAATGACATCGAAAAGCTTTTACTTTGTCATTAAGCTTCCTACCAATAGTGGTCAGTCCGTGTTCTTTCAGGTAGAAGTCAAGTTCTTTTACCTTTAACTTTTCGATCTTGCCACTCTCAACAAGGATGCTGTCCCATTTGAAGTCCTTGTATGTCCGTTCCGCCTCTTGCCTCTTTCGTTCCTCAGCTTCTCTTGTTTTAATGTTTTTTCTGATATTAATATCTTTAATGCGATTAATATATGGAATAACATGCTTCTCATCAACATTGTATTTTGAACAGAAGCTCTTGATGGTATCTACATCTTTTATGACACTGACGGAATGTTCCTCATGCAAATCCTTCAAACATTTTCTCGGGAGATAGTCATCCGGTGTCCTGCCTGTCGATTCCGTCTGACAGACATCCATGAAATGTCCCCGATTGTTTGGGTCTGGTACAGGTTGCGGGATTCTTTCTGTCTCTGGTCCCATCCATCTATTGTTAGAACACCAAAAACGGAGATTGGAGGTCTCCTCTTTGCTGGCACGCACCACCACAGAATTTCATTAAGAGCTCTCCATGGATGTAGTGGTCTTCCATAAACGATTCGATCTTTCTGAGGTATGCTGCACCAGGGAATTCCAATTTGTTTCTTCCTGATTCGCTCTGTTATCTATCAAGATGAGCAGAATTGAAAAAAAAACAGTTTCTCACGAGGCTCACTCACTTTACTCTTAATGTAGTCTTTAAGAACAGGGGCGTCATCAATCCTCTCGGCAACCTGACTGCTTACGTATACAAGGCATTTTTCTCCATCCGCTTCTTTTCGTATCCTTTATATGACTGAACTGACATTCTCTTGATTTCCTCTTCTGAAAGACCTTCAAATCTCCTATACTTTTCGCACTCTAGAGTTGCGCCATCCACAAGAGCATCAGAAATAGCAGCGTTTGTCCGTTCGGCTTCACCTTAATCTGCCCGCTGTCGCCCCTCGAACGATGGAGTCAGCCGGGAGGATGTTCAAGAGTCGGTAAAGGGAGGCGTCCAAGAGGCTGCCAAAGAAGCGCTGGGGACGAAGCAGTGACACTAAACTAATCACTTGTTGATTATACCATGTATATATTTTCTACTTCTGTTGTTGTTGTTTGTAATGACAGTGTACCACCAGGACGCCCTAAAAAGGCGTCGAACATTTTTTTGAAAGAAGTGAATAGTCACTCAAGAGAACTGCGACACAGTTTTGAAATACATGTATAGCCATTGAAATGACAGGACACAGGATTCTTCCCACTCTCTTCGTTCATCTAAGTGATAAACCGTTGTTTCTAAAAAAAGCCATTTATATAAACGCACCTTAAAGACCTGATCAACAAAACCAAGAAACAAATAAACACAAAAAAACCCGCTGAAAATAAGCTTAAAAGAGAAATTTAATGTACATTTCACACTTTTAATAGGCAAAGAATAAATTCTCATAAAACATCTTGTAATTGTTGCTGAATGCATATGAATGATTTTAAAATTAGTTGGGTAACCTGATGGGGTAGCCCGACTTAGCCCAGTAAAGTGGAACAGCCCGCCTTACGGCCACCTCGGTACTACGGTCGCCTCGTTATTACGGCCACCTTTTTTGGCCACCCGGCAAAACGCCATACATTTTCTTGTAAAAAAAAAAAACCAGTTAATACGGTCACCCGTCAATACGGCAAATTGTTTTGGCCCATTGGTACATGGTGACTGCGACCGTATTATCGGGGTTCCACTGTTCTCTCGATCTCGATCTGTCTTCTATCTGTGGTTTGATGAATATTTTAAAAAGTTCATGCTTTGTAAACAGATTATCATTTCTCAGTAATAAAAGTTATTTTTGGATTCTCTCAGGTCATCAAAACTTTAACACCTCAAGACACCATTTGACTGGTTGCCAAAATATACTTTACGGTCTGGATCAAAAGACAACACTTCTTTGTTGTGGTTTCTGGGAGTGCCAACCGACTACGTCTCAGAGTATTTTAAAACTTAATTTGCTTTCGATCTTCTTTATGGATATAAAGACCTTGCTGGACAATCTTCATGATGAAGTATCCTGTTCTGTGTGTATGTGTACTTTCACTGATCCAAAGCAGTTGCCTTGTTTGCACAATTTCTGTCTTCACTGCCTGAACGGAATTCAACGAACGAGCGGCGTCCATGGCAAAATTACATGCCCCGAGTGCAGGAGACAGTTTCAAATCGCTGGAAGTGGAAATCCCAGCGAACTTCCCACTAATTTTCTCATCAACAGTTTGCTAGATGTCTTGGCAATAAAAGAGTGCAGCACAGCTAACGTGAAATGCGGAAATTGCAACAAGCGGAGCGCCCAGACCTTATATTGCTTCCAGTGTTGTTCTTTCTGGTGCGAGGAATGTATTTTAGCACATAACATGATACGCACCAATAAAGAACACAGAACGTTGGCACTGAAGGATTTTCAAGATCAGGACATCGAGGCCGTGTTAAAGAGACCGGCATTTTGTCAGAAGAAACGACATGAAAAAGAAGAGTTGAAATTCTTTTGCAAGGACTGTAAAGTCGCCATTTGCAACACTTGTGTAGTAACAGTCCATGAAGGTCACGGAAAGATGCTTTTGGAAGAAGCTACAGACGCGCGCAAGACTCAGATCAACTCCATGACTCAATCTTTAATAGAAAAAGCACAAGAAAAACGAAAAGAGCTCGAGCAATTGAACCAAAAGAGCATGGACATTACACTGCAAGTNGTTTCTGGGAGTGCCAACCGACTACGTCTCAGAGTATTTTAAAACTTAATTTGCTTTCGATCTTCTTTATGGATATAAAGACCTTGCTGGACAATCTTCATGATGAAGTATCCTGTTCTGTGTGTATGTGTACTTTCACTGATCCAAAGCAGTTGCCTTGTTTGCACAATTTCTGTCTTCACTGCCTGAACGGAATTCAACGAACGAGCGGCGTCCATGGCAAAATTACATGCCCCGAGTGCAGGACACATTTTCAAATCCCTGGAAGTGGAAATCCTAGTGAACTTCCCACTAATTTTCGTATCAACAGTTTGCTAGATGTCTTGGCAATAAAAGAGTGCAGTACAGCTAACGTTAAATGCGGAAATTGCAACACAAGGAGCGCCCAGACCTTATATTGCTTCCAGTGTTGTTCTTTCTGGTGCGAGGAATGTATTTTAGCACATAACATGATACGCACCAATAAAGAACACAGAACGTTGGCACTGAAGGATTTTCACGATCAGGACATCGAGGCCGTGTTAAAGAGACCGGCATTTTGTCAGAAGAAACGACATGAAAAAGAAGAGTTGAAATTCTTTTGCAAGGACTGTAAAGTCGCCATTTGCAACGCTTGTGTAGTAACAGTCCATGAAGGTCACGGAAAGATGCTTTTGGAAGAAGCTACAGACGCGCGCAAGACTCAGATCAACTCCATGACTCAATCTTTAATAGAAAAAGTACAAGAAAAACGAAAAGACCTCGAGCAATTGAACCAAAAGAGCATGGACATTACACTGCAAGTTGCCGACGTTAAAATCCAAGTGCAGACACATGTAGATCAAGTTATTGCAATCATCGAGGCGAGGAAACAGGATGTTTTTGATGCAGTCGATAATCGAGCGAAAAAATCACTGAAATCCCTCTCACAGAAAAAAGACCAAGTTGAAAATCAAGTGAAATTAATTGAATCGGCAATTGAACGAACTAAAGCTCTTGTCAAACGAAGCTTTAGTACTGAAACCCTTGGATTCAGTGAAACATTTGATCATACAATTCTACAGGAACAGAGCACCCAAGGAAACCGTGACACTGAATGTATTCCTCGGTTTAGTTTCACTAAAAGTGAAAAACTGATTAACGTGTTGAACAGTGAAGGGATAGGTAATGTAAAAATTGTTTTAACCGAAACTAAAGCGCAACAATCAGGAGCTAAAGGTAAAGAAAGCAGTAAAGTAATTGCTGGGAATAAAGGGGCAAATGTTCATGACAGTCCTTTTGAGCCCCCAGTACAAACCAGGCGCTTCAGGTCCGTGCTGTCATTTGGACAAAAGGGTAAGTCTGTTGGAATGCTTAATTGGCCCTGGGGGATGGCAGTGAATGATCGTGATGAAATTGCTGTGACTGAGCTCGTGAACCACAGGGTTTCAGTGTTTAGTAGTGACGGTACCCACTTAAGATCGTTTGGTAGGGAGGGTAACAATAATGGTAAGTTCCAGCACCCTAAAGGGATCGCTTTTGATAGTCATGGTAATATTGTAGTGGTAGACTATTTTAACGACAGGGTGCAAGTCTTTGATAGGAATGGTAACTTTCTTAGTAAGTTTGGTAAACAAGGAAGTCATGATAATCAGCTTATGTCCCCTCAAGGTTTATCAATAAATGGCAACGGCGAAATTATTGTCGCTGATAGCGGTAACCAATTAATAAAGATATTCTCCTCTAGTCGCAACTATTTGCGTAAATTTGGTGAAGCAGGTTCTTTGGTCAATCCCATGCACTGTATCCAACACGGTCAAAATTTTATAGTCTCAGATGGCAGTGATCATTCCATTAAGATGTTTGATCTTGAGGGAAAATTTATTTCTAAATTTGGAAAAAAGGGGAACAAGGATGGAGAGTTCAATCAGCCCTGTTGCCTGTCAGTTAACAAAGAAGGATTGCTAATGGTCTGTGATGCAGGAAATCACAGAGTTCAAGTATTTGAACTGAGTGGAAAGTTTGTTACAAAATTTGGAAGTGAAGGTAGCGGGAGAGGAGAGTTGAATTATCCATTTTCTACAGCAATTCTTAGTGATGGAAGAATAGTTGTGTGTGATTTGAATAATGATCGAATCCAGGTATTTGAGGAAACAGGAAATAATCTATAACCTGCGAATTAAACCGTCTTTCCTCGCTCCTTGTCGTTTGGGACCTTTCGCGGAAAACATCTCTGCCGCGAAACTTCGTAATAGCAGCAATGAGCGAGGAGAGTCAGCTGTATTCGCAGCGGGCTACAAATAACCTTTGAAATTCAGTTCACTATTATATATTCCGATTGTTAATCAGATTCACAGTTCATGTTTCGGGAGGAAATCCATTTTGTGCGATTATTTTGTTTAGACATTTTGATATGTCGAAATTGGTGTTTTATGTTCTGTAAATATATTTTGCTCCATAAATAATATGGATCAGTCCAATGTCGCGTAAAAGTTGAGTTTTCGCCGGCGCGACCCTCCTTACATTGCCTCTATAATATTTACGCCGTAAATGCAATACTTGGAAAAAAAACTGCAATAGATTGACTAGATCCAAAGTTTATTATTATGAAAAAAAAATTTCTGTTACATTTTAAGCTCACATTATTACTAATTTGCAAGTATTTATCTTCAAACTCTGCTCAATATTTAGATACATTTTTGAAAGTGTGTTTTTGGAATGGGTTGTTATCTGTTCAATAGCGAGGACAGCCTGATTGGTTCACAATTTTTTAAGTACAAGGCTTATTTTTAGGGGTGGACCATTTGATTTTTGATGGGGGGGTTGCAGGATTTTTAGACTGCTAGATATTTTTTTTTATTGCTCCAGCCCTGCAGGATTTTTTTTTTAATCTCCCTGTCCTTGCATGATATTTTTTTTTAATGGAAATTTAAAACACAAATTTTGAAGTTTAATATTAAAAACTTGACCATCACCAGCCACTCAAAATTCACCCTTTAGGCTATTAAAAACCACCTTTACACGCAATGCATTTTTAAGTTACATCTTTCTTTCAAAGTAATAAAGAGTTTCATCTTTATTCAGTGTACAAAGAAATGCATCTCCACTAACCTGCGGCTAGTTGATTTCCCTGTCAGGCTAGTGGATGTTATATGCATCACTCTCTGTACTCTACTCTGTACTCTGTCTCTGTACCAACAGATCACTTGCCCACTGAACAAGTGAACGTTTTTTTCTTTCTAATTACGTAATGCTACTGAGAAAAGCTTTCAAACTTGCGTGTAATGGTTCCAACTTGTCCAAAGGGCGAGCTGGAAATTCCATCTTATTTGAATCCTTTTTTTTGCTTTCAAAGCAAGAGAGAGGGACTTCAAAGAAGGGGAAATTGCACAGTAATCTGGCTTCTCAATATACGCATTTAGTATTTGGAGTTATCTAGAGTTTAAAAAAAAGGAGGGTTCAAGAAATGGGGACCTCACTGTAGATTTTACCAGTTTAGACGAATTTCGAGTGGACATAGAAGCAGCTGGAGGGGATATAACCTGCAGCTGTTGTCAATGGCCCCTTTTGAAGGCCGGTACCAGGACAGTTCCATTCCCACGGTCCAATTAATTTATGTGCTACAGACTGTTTACTATTATTTTCTTGGCTTGAAAATAGGCAATGAACACAAAAGTAATAGAACTCTGCAAAAACACGAATGACCCAGAGGGAAAAATACTCTTCGATCTATTTGATCGTCTTTTGTCTAGTGCACATATCCAGCGCATCCGTTTCACATTCTTTGTATATTTTGAACCCTGCACCAATTCAATGTGGCCTGCCTTTACTCTTGTTTGTCCCATTTCCTTTTCTATAAAGTAAATCTTATTTTGTTACAAAAATACACAGGGAATTTTTGGTGATTCCCAAAGTGGGAAAAAAACAGTAAATTCGTGGGGTTTTCTTGGGTTTTGGTTGTAATTTCCCAAATTGGGAAAATGCTACCAAAACCAAGATTGGGTTCAAGTAAACCCAACAAAAACCCGCAAATTGGGATTTTAGTGTACCAACTTTAACCCAGGAATGGAGTTTTCGCGTCCCATATTTATCCCATTAATGGGATTTTACCAACCCACAAAAACTCCAAAAATGTGATTCAATTGTCCCAGTTGAACCCCAATAGTGGGTTAATACTGGGCCATCTGAAACCCAATGTAGGAATTATATTGGAACAGTAATACCCCAACCATGGGTCTTTATTGCCCCAGGTAATCCCCAATTAGTGGTATAACATTGGTCCACTTTTATCCCATTAAAGGGATAGTATTGGACCAATTTAAACCCGAAGTGTGGGAATATATTGGGATAGTTACACTCCAAAGATGGGTTTTTATTGCCCCAGTTGATCTTCAATAATGGGATAACATTGGCCCACATATTTTCTGACTTATGGACTTATGAATGTAATTGTAATCAATCAAGCAGCCTTTAAAAATATTGGTCCAGTTGTAAAACACACAAAAAAGGTTCGACAATATTAATATGGTTAACAGTAACATTTATTTTAGATGACAATGCAGGTGTCAATTCAAACTGGTTGATTTTTATTAAACAGGTATTTAATCTGTATCTCTTTATATGTAAATATAACGTGCAAAAATACAATATCATTGAAAACTGTATCATAAAAATATATTAAACTGTTTAATTTAAGTTCATTCATCAATCATAGAGTAATGCAGATATGCAGAGTCACATTGTCGAAGGCTATTCCATACATTCATCAAACAGCTCAAATCCTTTATGAACACATCAAATGTCCCTTAACTTCATTTTCATGGTTAAGAGCAGCAACATTTATATCAGAACCACTATGGTATTTAGTTATAGCTAGGTCCTACCTGGGAAAAAACAGCGTCAAGTCATAATTATAATAAATGAACCAGTCTCTTGTATAGTTTTTACATAGCGGACGTGTCAGAACATTCTTATATTTCCTTATACATCGAAGTCTTCGATTTCAATATTCCGCCAGAATATGATTATTCTAATGGATTCCGTGGACGATTTGCAGCAAAGACCACAGTCATCTGTAGAAACAAAAAAGGTGGAAACTTCATCTCTAAAAACGAACAAATAGCACCCGACAAGAGACGATCGAGCCTCGTACGATCTCAACGGAACAACACGAGTTTCCACACATACCTTCCTCTTTAATGCGCGATCCAGCTCAGTCATTGTTTAATAGAAGACGATTTTGAAACAAGACAAATGTAAGCAACCTCACAAGTGAATATTTTGCGTTAAAATCTTTGGATGCATTCATTATAAAGACAATCCGTTTGCAAACCACTGTTGTACTGCACAGAAGTCCGCCTAAAGATTTGAACCAAGAAAACTGATCTTGTACACATTTCTATTGGTTCAAAAGCCGCACGTGATCGCGCGTCACTAAGCGGAGGCCTGGACGCCAGTTCAAGTACCAAACATGGCGGCAATTCGACGGCACGATGGAGAAGATTGTATGTCTTTGAAAGCTTTAACTTGTGGTCTGTTTCAGAGTTAAATGCACTATGCCGACGCTCGTGAAGAGTAAAGCAGTGAGAAGAAAATATTGCATTGTTCTCCCAGGTGAGGGAACCTTTGAAAAAAGGCAGCGGGCCTATTCACAGATGCGGCGAAAAATGTAGTTCGCCGAAAACTCCATGCAAAGCAATCTCATTAATCAGATTGGACTCGAGTAATTGGGCAAATTTCAGCTGTCAACAGAAGACACCTTGATATCGAGAAGAGTTATGCGCCTAGTGGGATCATTCATAGTTAATTATATTGAAGCGGCTACATGCGATCAAGTGCATGCACTGAATTACCATACTTTTGGTTTTCAAATAAGCCAATGCAACTTTAACTGTTTTGTTCTAAACTTAGCAGATATGATGTTTGGAAAATTAAACTTTTTAAACATTATTTGTACACTATGTATGTTGGTATTTCAAGAGCAATCTGTCATTTCTTTCAAGACTAAATTCAACATTTACGAAGATTTACTAGTTACCAGACATTATGTGTATGGAAAATATTATTCTTAACCCTTTTCTGTTTTTGGATTGAAATTTATTCAATACTTCCCATAAAAGAATATAATAATTGGCCTAACCGTTACATTGTAATGCTGACACAAGATTATTGTATTCTTTCCCACCCAATATAATAGTCATAAGAATAACAAATCTAGATTTAATCAAATCCTTTTCCAAGGTGGGGATTTCTTGTCCCTTTCATTTTCCAAAATTGGGAATAACATGCTGCAATATTTCCCAACTTGTGGAAAAATAGCCCCATTATTTTCCCATATTTTGGGAAATAAACCCATTGGTTTCCCAATGTTGGGATCTTGGAATCTATATTGCATATTTTCCCAAACTAAACACGGTACCGGGAAAACGTAACCCTAACTTTAACCAACCCTTTCCCAAGGTGGGGATTTCTTGTCCCTTGCATTTCCCAAAATTGGGAATAACATGTTGAAATATTTCCCAACTTGTGAAAAAATAGTCCCATCATTTTCCCATACTCTGGGGAGAAAACCCATTGGATTCCCAACATTGGTATTTTAAAAAATATTTTGCTTCATTTCCCAAAGTGAACCCAGCATTGGGAAAAATAAACCCAAACTTTTACCAATCGTTTCCCATGAGAGGAAAATGTTGTCCCAACCATTTCCCAATAATGGGAAAAATCCCCAACACTTTCCCAGTTTGGGAATTACAAAAAGTTTCCTGTGATACCTGCACGTGACAACTGTTAGGGTGCGAATCTGAATGCATGAATATCTTTGAATCATAATATCCTTCTAGATCAGAGGGTTCACTTTAATAGGAAATCTAATTGGTAAATCATGCGTCGCGCTTGCAAAATACTAATTCACGCATCAAAAAATGTGATGCCCAGTCCTGTATCATGTGACTCACAGCTACTTTTGGGGCCATCACGCATCACGCAAAATCCTTTGCCACGCCCAGGTTAAAGCTGCTCGATTTTTTTTTTCCTTCTTAAGAATTCTGCAAGAAATTTTTTTTTAACCAGAAACATATGCTCGGTTATTTTTTTCGGATTTGCACAACCCCCCCATCAAAAATCAAATGGTCCACCCCTTACTTAGCTTTTTCCAGTAGTAACAGACGTACAT